GAAATTAGAACTACATTTTGAAAAATTTGAACTACGTTTTGAAAAATTAGAACTTCATTTTGGGAAACTAGATCTACATTTTGAGAAATTTACGCCTACGTTTTGATAAATTGTACATTGAATTTTGCAATTACATTTTGATTTTAACATGGACTTTTGCTGCGTATGGCACCCCATAGTTCAGTGAGGGGAAAATAACACAAATTTCAGGTTGATGATTGGCCAAATGTTTTTAGTGGATAAATCATCAATAGTTGCGTCACGATTTACTTTTAGGTTTTGGATCCGGAGAGGGTGTTAGGCTATTGTTGACCCACGGAGGTCAGACAACACCAGGAGCCGCAAAAGGATATGGGTGTCTTTGTATTAAATTGCTAATCATCACTTGGTGTCTGACAGTTTGTTAGTGCTAAACTAGGCCTATGAAAGGTAAGTTACCTCATTATGTTTCTGGTGAGGAAAGCCATCTCTAAAGTAGGAATAGGAGGCCCAACCCAAGGACCTGATCATTTAGTTAGTATGTATTGTAGCTAGGAAATTGACAATCACGATAATCATGCTTTACGAAGACACCCAATTGCAATGCCGTACCAATATTGCGCCTGCTGTGTGATAGTCCCACACAGCCTGGTCCCACATACAAAGTAATTATTACTGTCAAACCTCGAACTGAAGCCCTTGGCTTCTTTTTTTCGAACTTTTCGAGGCTACTTTTGCAAAATAAGGGAGGGGGGCTCTTTTCAAAATGAATGCTGTAAATTTTGGGAATTACTACTAGGCCTAGAGGCCTATAAAACAATAAGTAGGGCCAATGTAACACCAGTTTGTGTCATGTGAAATTAACTGGCATTCAATCACCTAAAAGCTGTAACCACCAAGCACGATTTTACATTTTTTTTTCTTGAAACTCATGTACAGAGTATGTACTGTTTATCTCGAAAAAAAAGCCAATTTGCTATCTTGAAAAGAAGCCTCCATGGCTTCTTTTCGAGGGGCTTCTTTTCGAGGCTACTTATGCAAAGTTTAGGCTTCTTCTCGGGATTCCTATTGGGCTTCTTTTTGAGGTTTAGTAGTAGCCTAACCAGTTGAATTGTAGGCCTCTACTACTACTACTGCTGTACATTGTTCAGAATCAACTTAACAAATATATAGGCCCACCCGGCATGTTATTTCGCTGACACTCATTTTTGCCTACATGTTGTTATCATTAACAATTAAAGGAACATTAAAAACATACAACTATCCACAATGTAATTGGGCAATTGATCATGTATATAGGAAAACAAAAGAAAAGGGGAACAGGAAACAACTACTGTAAGTGAAAAACAACAAGCACAAGAAATAATGAGAGGAAATGTAGGCTACCCATACATCAAAGAAATGTCACAGAAAGAAAGCTTATATATTTTTTTTGTTTCTTTTGTTCATGTGGTCCACTTACGAAAATCAGTACTGTGTCATTGAGAGTACAATCACAGAACTCGAAAAGATCATAAAATAAATACATATTTCATACCAAGACACAAGATCGGGAACAAGTGGTATACCCAAAGGATAAAATTTCCAAAGCAAACACTTGCGAATGCATTCATGAATTTGATAGCCTGAATAGCACACAAACACAGGAGAAATGGTAAGACCATTAAACACAAGAAAAAACATAACTATTGAGTATGAGATAACCAGATGATTCTTCCAAGATATACATGGATGAAATTCATACATGACATTTCATTTTATTTTATTTATTTTGTCATTCATTAAAATACATAGACATTTACAAGAAAATATGAAAAATACAAGAGAAAAATTATACACTACATGACAGATCGCCAAAAAAGTAAATTGACTATGAGATAACCAGATGATTCTTCTAAAATATACATGGATGAAATTCATATATGACGTTTCTTTTCATTTCATTTATTTTGTCATAAATTAAAATTTGCAGAGACAAACGAGAATATATGAAAAATAACAGAAAAATTATACACATGACAGGATTGCCAAAAAGTAAAATAAATCACTGTCGGGTATGCCTCCAAAAAGGGGTATAAAAAATGAAAATTAAAAGTTAAAAACATGAAAAGATTTAAGAATTTATATTTTATAGCCAGCTCTATCATTTGTATAATTTAAGTAAATTTCCAAGGAATAAATGTATCCAACTTCGAACAACGTCGAAAAGGGAATGAGGACGTTTGTTAGGGAGATGGTTCACACGTGGCGCCTTGGGTCAGACTGTTCCATTTTTTCCCGAAGGGGTGTTCCGTTTTGGGAACAATGGCAATTAGTCGGTTATCCAGGTAAGTATTCACGAAATAGACAAATGAATATTGAAAAAAAGATGTCCTTTAACCTCAGTAAGGACTTTATTCCAAATTCTTAGAAAATGATTAAACACAGAAAATTTAAATGTCTGTACAGGCAAATGTGTGAGTAGAGATTAGGTGATCAGAGTGTCTCTATTGATATTGATAAAACTAAAATACTGTATATCAATATTATAAATTTTAAATAAAAATTTTGAAATAAAAGAGATTATAAATGTAATCAAGTCTACTTTTTATGGGGCTCGATATCAAGGTGTATCGGTCTCTCACTGTATGCAACTTTCTTTAAGCGTCGTGGCATACACATGTGATCCTCTTCTTTTGGATCCCTTCTAATGCCTTTAATTAATTGACTGGACTTGTATGGGTTCCAAGGAGGCATTCCAAGTTCAACAATAGGTCTCACCAGTTGGATTATAAGGCTGGGCATTCATTGCGCCTGACGGCAGTCAACTCGCGGTCCTCTATGTAGAACGCAACATGACGACGCACGCTCAATGGATCGTTTTTGATGATGCAGTGACTGCCTGGTATCACACATGATTCTTCTAATGAACCCTATAATTCTATTAGTCTGAGAAGTTACAGAGTGTTAACATGTTTACTCCAATGAAATTTAGATTTTGATGAGATAGTGAAACCAGGATATTTATGAGAAATATACCCCTTTCATTGGCCTGGCAGAGATGCTGGTGACGATCTCTAGGCCTCCTGGTAGTCAAAAAAATTGCCCAAGACGAAAAAAATGCGCAGGAATTCAGGAAACTGATTACCTTTTTTTTTGTTGTGCCAAAATACGAAAGCTACATGGACGAAATTCACACATGACATATTCTTATATATACTGTATCAGGAATCGACAAAAAAAAATAGGCTGTATTAATATTATTATTCTTTGAATGAAAATACATTCAATTCAATACTTTTTTATTCATCATCAAATCAATGTCAATTTACAAATAAAACTTTTAAAAATGTTAAAAATAGGATAAAAGATGAAAAGGACATTCATGAAGCCCTAAATGTACAGCAGTAAAATTGTTTAACCAAAAATAATATAAATAAGTGTAACTTTTGTATAAATACTTAAAAGAAAATAACGCTAAAAAAAAAAATTGTTTTAAAATTTTAAAAATAATATAAAAGCACAAATTTACAACGTATGACAGTACAACCTAACCTAACATAAAATCTAAGGAAGAATTTAAAAAGCAAACAAACCACTGAACAAGGACATATTTGAACGGGTTTGGGGGTGGTATTTCTAGGACAACCGATTTTGTTAACATGTTTAACAACAATAGAGGCAGAAGTTTAAATGAGAATTTATAAAATGTATGATACAATTCATAAATAAAATAAAGTTCATAAAATTTATGATACAATTCATAAAATTTATGATAAAATTCATGGCATGATGAAATTCATGACATTATGATAAAATTCATAAAATGTATGATAAAATTCATAAAATACATGATAAAATTTATAATTTACGGTTTATCATACATTTTATAAACCGTAAATTATAAATTATAAAATTTATAATTTACGGTTTATAAAATGAACCGTAAATTATATTATAAAATTCATAATTTACAGTTTATAAAATGTATGATAAATTTCTGGAAATTGATGTTAAAACTATAAAATTAATGATAAAATTGATGCAGGAATAAAGAGATGAAATTAAAAAAAGCACAAAACGTTCATCAAATTTAGTGTAGTGTCACCAAGTGGTAAACAGAAAATTCAGGTGTATTCATAGAGATATAATAAGAATACTAGAGCACTAACAGCAATGTATTCGATGTTCGAAATACGCAGAGCTGTGTGTGTGTATCATCCAAGATGGCTGCCATAGATTCAGCCAATCAAATTTCGCCTAAGCGCCGTCGTTTGCAATTGCGCCCTCAATTTACACAGAAAGTTCAGTACAGCTAGTTACCCCTATGTTTGAAACTCGAGCGTTGCGGTGTTTGGGTGTAATGTACACGATTTTAATTTTCATTCCTTGGTACTTTATTTTTTAATAAGATGCTCCACTTGGCCTCGTTTTGGCTACAATAGTTTAATAATTTGTTATTACCATTACTCATTATCATTATTAATGAAATAATAGTCAGAGGGCTTATTAATATGTAATAATATGTATACTAAGCCTGAAGGTGGCGCTACGATGGCCATCTTGGATGGTACACATACATAACTCTGCATTGCAGCGCCATCTTGTCAGCACTCTAGTTGTTTAATAGCTCTATGGGTGTATTAGAGGCCCTTCATACCGGCTGAGGCGTTGTCTCCACACTCTTTCACTTTCTTCACCTAGCGTGCACATGTTTAAAGGGATAAGATGAATATGACTATAATAATTAAATATAAATAGAAAAATTATAATTTCTTAGATTTTTGTTCTTAGGCATTTAAACATTAAACAGAGCCAACCCAAATTTCTCTATAATTTGTACATTGACAAAAAATGTTTTATTGTATATTGTACAGTATGTCCAACCTGTTGGTCTGTGCCAAATCCACATAAAGTAGTGATGACCAGGTGATGAATAGAAATTGCTGCCCTAAAAACTGCCTTCCCGAAATTATCATTTAATAAATTATGTAGTATTTTGTGTGTTTATATAGAATAAAGGTAGTATTTATATAGGACATTTTTACATGTTTTGTTTAAAATGCATGTATTTTTTGTCTACAGATATGTGCATACAATTGATCCTTATCATACTTAATCATATCTGTAGCTATTTCACTGTATTATTGTTTAGAATTTATAGGCATTAATAATTAATCTTTATATATTTTGAATATAAAAAATTGATCATGTATTCCCCGCTTCTCAAAACGTTTTTAGGTAGCGAAACTTTCAGACTCCCTATTACTTGGTGACCCAAATCATAATATTGCACTGCCACTAGCCATAGCACTTGGCTCCTAATTTGTCAAATAAAGATATGCTGTTGTATTTCTACAGTCAATATAATAGCAAGTTGAATACAAAGTAGCTGTGATAATCATTTCAATTTTTATTTACTCAAGCAAAAGTACACAAAGTATTTTGTTATCGTCGATCGTGTGCAGAATTGTTCCATTTAATAGTAGAGAGTATTTATTGTACACTCGTAATTTTAAATGTTTAATGTAAAACAATGACAAATTTTTGTGAAGTTGACTGGGTAAATAATAATTGAAAAATGAAGTTTGTACATCCCAAAAAGGCTCAAACTCAAAAGAAAAGAAGACACTCTACATTTTAAAGACGATGTAACTTGTATTTACTGGTAGATTGTGTTAATGTGAGCTATGTTTCGGCCTAATTTTAATTACCTTATGAATCATTGGAGAGATTAGTGACAGTGTACCATTGAGATTAGATTTATTTGGATTGACAATGAATTTCTAGTTTTCATCTTCTAGCTACATCTGGGCATATCTCTTGAGCTAAGTCCTTAAAGTCAGAAGCAGGTTCACAACCATCAGAAATGGTTTGGCGACACATGGTTTGAGAAGTGGAGATGTACTTTATATCGTATTTGTTGAACATTATAAACTCAGTATTTTAATGTTATGATTTATAAATCATTAAACAGAGATAAGTTGTAGTTTGGTATTGATTAATGATAGACTTAGTGTATGATTTTGAATAGCTTATAATATAGTAATGCTTTCTTATAAAGTGTTAAACTGTATCCAATATTTCTTCATATCTTTCAGATTTTTTACCTTAATATTGAAAGATGATAATACAGGTATTTCAGATGTGTTTCTTCTTCACATTTATTATGATGACAAGTTCAGCGACCCTTGGTCATACTTACAATAAATACAGAGATCCTGCTGGAAGCTTTTCAACAGTGTTATTGGATGTTTATAGTAATAATGTATTAATAGGTGGTGTGAACAAAGTGTATAAACTTAATAGTGACTTAGAGTTGTTAGTACAAGGATCCATAGGACCAAAGTTGGACCATCCTGATTGCCAGGCCCCACCACCAGCTGATTGTGCCCAAGAAAGAACCATAAGGAGTAATTTAAACAATCTTCTCCAAATATATGATGATAAAATAATATCATGTGGAACAGTTTATCAAGGCAGTTGCGAGTTTTTGTATCGCTCAAATTTGACATCGATAGCGCAGGAAATCGTGCCCGTAATAAACACTGAAGGCAAAAGTGTATCAATTGTTTCTTTAGATGCTGAACCAAAGTTGTTTATTGGAACATCACCATTAAGTGAGCCAGACCTACCAGCATATGCCATTCGCTCTCCTTTGAATTTTGAGGTATACAAAAAACAATTAGTAACAAAGGCTCAGAAGAAGGCAACTGATGATGCAATAAAAGGTGGATTTGTAATTGATTTTATCCATGCTTTTGTAAGCAACGGTATCAACTACTTTGTCATGGTGTATGATGAGAAATATGGTGAAACTACGCACAAATATCAAACGTACATTGCGCACCACTGTCAATCTGACCTATCTTATCTTTCGTATATTGAGCTACCATTAGTGTGCCGCCACAATGGACAGAGTTACACGCTAGCCCAGTCAGCTTATCTCGCTAAAAGAGTTCCATCACAACCAAATTCATCGGAGCTTGTACTCGTTGTAACATTCGGAATGTCTGAGAATGCGGCAAGCTTATTACCAGAAAGAAAATCGGCAGTTTGTATGTACTCTCTGACGGACACAATTGAGTATTCATTTTTAGAGGCATATAAAGCTTGTGCTCGGGGAAATACCACGTTTAAAACAATCAAGTGGGCAGGTGATAGTCAAAACACGTGCACTATCAATTCACATTGGGTAAGTTTTTTTTTTAAAGATTTTTATAGTCAAGAATAGTCAGGTACAGTAGAACCTTTATTTCATATTATTATTTTTTTTATTATTAAGGGGACACCTTTGTGACTAAAAAAGGGACGCTAACTAAAAACATTAAATTGTCCCCTTAATAGGGTTTTTTGGCGTGTTTTCATACAATTTTATTTTTATTGACATAAGAATCAATTACAGTAGAATTTAACTTATAGCAATAATTTGTAATTCTAATGTAATTATACATTTATAATGTGAAATCAGAAGAAATATAATTAAACAACAATAGTTTTATATGTTCCCAATATTATTTTATGATTCAATATTAATGACTAATTTTTTTTTAAATGTTGAGCTTTCTAATGGATGGATGTAGCATGAATAGAGAATGGATTAAAATTAAGGGTGCATATTATGGTATGGATTAGAATCCTATGTACAGTAGAAAGTACATGAAAAACAAAGAAAAAGAAATTTAAAAAAATTTACAAGATTGGTATATAGATATGATATATCATGTTTACTCTAAGGATTTAGGGGGAGAAAATTCTGATTTATTGCTCAGAAGGTGTCAAAATATGTTGAATGAATTGTTCTTAATTTTTGAGACTGCTGTAGTTGATACAATGAATAGGGATTATTTGACCATATGGCACTCTCAGAAAGTGCCCCCGTTCCCTTAATAGAACCCAACCGGACCCATTGTCTCCACTGACAAACCATTGATCCCATTTTCTAATGTAATTGTTAAAATGTTATATATTAATTTTTCTTTGTAAATTTTAATTGATGATTAAGTGTGTGTTTGATAACTATAATGGGAGCTTTTGTGTTTTTAGTACATTTTGATGGTAAAATATTAGGTTTTAAAATGCCATTTCCAGAAAGCTTATAAAGTCATTCAGGCGTAAGGAATGGTAACCAACGTCTGGTTGACAACAGAGGGCGCCACTTGGTGTTGTGACGATACGACTGTGGTACTCTTTAGAGATGTCCCCTTAATAGGGGTTGGCCGAAGTGTTAAAGGATATATTTCCCCACGTTTCACGGAAGTGTCCCTTAATAGGGATGTCCCAAAGGAGGGGTTCTACTGTACTTCTAATGTCAATTCTTTTCTAAGAACTTGTCAGCTTTCTTTATTTCATGTTTGTCTGAATAACTATCATTATTAATTTTCTCGTAGCAAGATACATTATTTGGAACTAAAGCTTAGAAATTTGTGGTAGAAGATATATGTAAGATGAAAAAATACTAGACTTAAATATTAAATTTTCTAATTTTCTAGAGTAATTACCTACAGTCAGAGCAGGTACCCTCCTGCCATGACCTGGAACAAATTCCTGATCTTGGAGGGAATGCTCCAATCACAGCCGATGCCATATACCAGGAAGATAATAACCTTTTCACTTCGGTCATATTTCAATATATTGACGAGGTAGAAGAAAATGTAATATTCCTTGGCGATGATGGGGGAAGTCTCACAAAGGTAAATTGTATTTTTTTTTTAATAATTGTATTTTTTTTTATAAATCATAACATTTGTATCCACATCTCTTTAATTGAGTTATTTATTGCCATTTGTATAGGCCTAGTATAGTGTACTTTCAAGCCTTAAGTGCTTCACATGTGAAACATCCCGTGTGTAATATTAAATGATACACAGAGGCTATAACTCAACTAATAACATTTTAATACTTCTCCGCCGTCAGCGTGGTAGTAGCAACTGCGCTCAACAGAGGGCGCTACATAGGATATCACGTTTCTCATTTTCTTTAAGAGATCTCTAATTTGTTATCCACTTTTAGTTAATCTATAAAATCTATCTAACTTTAACGCAACTATTAATATATAACTATTTAAATTAAATCGTTCATTGTTGTCTTTCTTTTATTAACTAGTTCAATAGACTTTAGCGATAGGTATTTTCTGTGATTTATACTATACTGTAGTACATTGATTTTTCTCTGCTGGATGTATTTCCTATAGTAATTGCATTAAGTATTTAACAGCTTAAATCGTAACATAGGTTTATTGATTATGTGGTTTGGAATAATTTATGAATGCATGCATTTTCTGTTCTTTAGTGGGTTATATAACTTTTGATAATTGATGATCTGTATTGACATATACAATAATATAGTTTATAAGATATAGTCTTTCAGATATGTAGGTCTTCGTCTATTCCTTTGTGGTCGGGTTATTGGTGTTGTTGGTGTTGGTGTTTCCGTAGGTTGTGATTGGTCCCTGTTTTCATGGTTTGGTTGGTGCTCCATTTCATTTATGGGTTGGTGTGCCTCTATTAGTACTTTCTCTCTCCAGTCATCCGTTTCATTCTCTAATTCACTGTCAGGATTTTGTATAAATGCATTTGCAAGTTTGAAATTGCCTGCATCCCGGTAAATCTGTCTGCTCATCAGTGATTCTTCTAGCTGCGATTGATGAACCATCTATGCGGTATATGACATAAAAAGCTGGTTCATAAGCAGTGGTCCATTTATTTCTTTTGGTTTGCTTCAAAAGTACATAGTCTCCTACCACAAATGTGTGTTCTCTGGTGTTCCTGTTTTGTTGCTTAAGCTTGTCCTTGTATGCTCTGTCTCTTTCCTCCATTATGATATCCTGGGGTATTGTTGTAGTCTCTCGTGGTTCATAATCTAATTTGGTTCGGATCTGTCTGTTCATTAATGCATTATACAGGGTTATGCCTGTAGCTGGATGAGGTGTTGATCGGTATCGTGTTAACATTTCTTTAATTGCTGTGTTTGTGTTTACTCCCTGTAGATGTGCAATTTGTTCAGTCTTATTCATGGTTTTCATGAAGCTCTCCGCTTCTCCATTTGCTCGAGCATGTTCTGGTGTTACTAAGTGGTGCATGAAGCCTTTCACCATCGCAAATTCCTCAAATTGTTTGAAGTTAAATGGTGGTCCATTGTCTGTTTCGACTCTTCTTGGTGTTCCATGTGTAGCAAATATTTTCTTTAGTTTGTCTTTGTTAGATCGAAATGCTGTTGAATATGTTGTTTCAACTTCTGGGTATCTTGTTCTCTTCTCTACGGCAACAAGATTGTAGTGCCCGTTAGGGTATGGTCCTCCGAAGTCAACTGATATTACATCCCACGGTCTCTCTGGTATTGGCATTAGCTTGATAGGTTCTTGATTGTGTGCTTTGGTGGTGACTCCACATTCATAGCATTGCCCTATCAATTGTTCAGTCATCGTGTTCATCAATGGACACCAATACTTCTCTCTTAACATTTGCTTAGTTTTTGTCATGCCTTAGTGTCCTAGGCTGTGTGCTGCCTTGATGACTTTTCGCTGGAGGGTTGCCGGTTTTACTATCTTGTTTAGTCTGAAGATCAATCCTTCTACTGTGTACAGCGAACTGGGTAAAAGGGTGCGATGTCTGGGTTACTTTTGTAGTGTTCCCAATATACCAATGTGCATCCTTTTCTGCAAACTCTGGAGTCGCTGGTCTGTTTTTGTATCCCCTCTGATGCGGTCTATGACGATTGCATGTTCGTCAACTATTATTTGTTTGATGGTATGTTCTGTGTCGTCTCTACCTCTCTCCGGTAGAGGGTGTCTTGAAAGGAAGTCTAGGGGATCTGCTGCATCCTTTCCTGGCTGGTATACAAGCTCGTAGTCAACATCTTGCATGTCCATCACCCATTTTTCAATTCTCGGTGTAAGCTTCATAGTTGCTTTGTTGAACATTGGGATTAATGGCTTGTGTGCAGTAATTATCTGAAATTTAGGTGCTCCAAGTAGGTACAACTGAATCTATTCTTGTCAGTTCTCTCAGTGTTGCTGTCAGCATTGTGTAGTTTGGAATGAATTTAGATAGGTATCCCACTATGCCTAAAAAACTGTACACTGCCTCTTTTGATTCTGGTGGTTTGCTTTGCTTAACCGTTTGAACTTTCTCTGGACTGGGTTTGAGTCTGTCTTTGGTAAATTTGTACCCGTAGAAGTCAAGTCAACGGCCCCTCCCCTGACGGTTTTTACCGGGCTGACCAAGTCGTCGTACCGGGCTGGGTAATAAGAGAAAAGAAAGAGGGGAGAGGGAGGGAAAGAGAAAGAAGAAAAAAGAAAAGGAAAGAATAGGAGATGAGAAAAAAGACAAGAATAAAAAGGAAGATATATCATAATGACCAGACTCAAAACACCCTGCAACCCCTTCTCCACTTCAAAAACTGTCATAACTCCTTTGATCTATGCTGCCCGATGGCTTAACCACTGGGGGACAAGGGGAAAATATCTATCTTTGAGAAATCTTCCCCACCTCTTTATAGATGCCCTTTTCATCCCCTGAAAGTGCCTAAAAACCTCAAATTCGCGTGCATTTCTTGTTGGCATGGGCCAATTTCCTCTTAAAATTGCACATTTTAGGGAGTTCTGATCAATTCCAACAAAATTAGAATTAAAAACACCGGGGGACAAGGTAAAAATATCCATCTTTGGAAAATCTTTCCCCACCCCTTGACAAATGCATCCTCTGAAAGTGCCTAAAATTCTCAAATTCTTTGCTAGTATTTCTTGGTACGGTAGGCTAATTTCCTCTATAAATTACACATTTTAGGGAGTTTTCATCAATTCCGACGAAATTAGAATTAAAAACACAAATGTATTTTTGCGCGCTTCACGCGCAATTTTTAGGGCTTTTTTAGGATTATCCTTTTAAGTTAAACCCCGGGATCTACGCCTATGCTTAGATCAACGCTAGCCCTTATCATGTTTGGCTTAATTTCTTCTTGAGGTATCTTGCGGAATCTAGGTTTTGGTTGAACAACCAAAGGTGAACACCATGTCACTGGTTCCCCTGAGGGTACTCTCTCAAAAATGTCTTCCTCAACACATTAATCAAGCCATTCCTTCAATGGTTTCTGAAGGTAGTAAGCTACTGGTCTTGGTCTTTGTGCCACTGGAACTGCTTCTGGTTTCATGCTAAACTTTGCATAGATCTCTTTGTTACACTTTACATCTTTGATTAGCCCAATGCCTCTGAATACTTGTTTGTATTTGTCAACAATTCTTTCAACTTGGCTGTTTGTTTCCATGTTAGCCATTATAGTTGAATCCCTCGGGTTCTAGTCTGATCATTCCTAACTTGGTAAGTGTTTCTTTGCCAATGAGGGGTGATGAGTTGATGTGACCTTTCACTACAATGAACTTGGTTGCTGTTCCACATGTCTTGTTTCTAATTATTGTGTTGAACTCTCCTTTAACTGTAAGTTCATTTTGTAGTGTCTTAAGTTTGGTCTTACTAGGTTGCTACTACTTCTGTGCATAAATGCTTTAATTGATGTTCATCCATTATGTTGACATCTGCTCCACTGTCAGGCTCTGCTTTCATATCAACATCACCGATTCTAATGGTTACCAATTTCTTTTCTACCCAGGTTGTCCTATTTTCTTAGCTACCAAATGTTTAGCAGCTTCCTCAAAGAATTCGTCGTCTGAGCTACATTCTAAAAATCTTCCCTTAGCGAATTCGGTCCTGCTACCTGACCTACTCTGGTAATCGTCCAACCCCCTGTCACAAGTGACAGGTCGGGTGACAGATTCGCTACTTACCTAAAATTTATTACCTGTATTGTAGTTAGGCCTAGGAAGGTTAGTGATCTAGAGTGAGCAAGAGATATTTCGTTTACAATGGTCAGGCACAGCAAACGTAATGAATAAGCCTACATCTAGGCTACAACAATTAATACTCTCTTAACATATTCCTACATTTTCAATAAAAAGAAGTTATAATCGGGAATGCATGTTTAGGTGTGGTGTGATGTCAAAAAGTGCATTGGCAGTCCGTAACGAACAGAAGCAACTACTGAATTTCCCGCAAATATTTTTTACTGGGAATTGTTCTTCTTGTCTGTACCACAGTATAATTAAAATGAAAATACAAATTGTGTTCACACCTAAAAATCGGGAAAATTATGACGCATAACAAACAAAAATTAATAAGATTGAACTGAAGCGCCTATCCCTGGCATCCTAAGATCGAACCCTTGTGTGCCCGGTGAAGCTTATTATAATACTATTTAAACATGTGTATTATAACGGTTACAGTAGTGCACGTGTTTGAATATTAATATAATATTTAAACATGTTTATTATAACGGTTAATACACATGTTTAAATGTGGTAATGTTTAGGCATGTGTATTTATAGTTATAGTACAAAATGAATACCCTGCCGCAAAATGGACGGTTGTATAAATCGCCCACGACTCAAGCACATGGGCTTCTCGTTCATTCGTGATGTTGTGCACTGGCCGAGAGAGCGAGTAATCGTCTGTAGATTGATGCAACGAAGATACAGAATATCAGTTATAAAATCAATTTAGCATTTGATTTTAATACATGACGAGTTATTCTCTGTTCCTAAATTTTAACTGTCAACTAGATATTCATCGCTTGATTCGGAGGCCCTATAAAATAGAGATTTACTACTCTCTGAGCCTAGATTGAAATATTGTACATGTAGCTGTAAGCTGTAAAATAGCCCCTGGATAGCAGGGAATGTGAGTAAACATTGCTGTACGCCACACGATCATAAAATAAATAGAATAGGCTAGAAAGAATCTTATTCTTATATTTATTTAGGCCAGCATAAACACCAATACACCATGTCATTTTCAATACATATGTGTATTGAAAATGACCAAAATTACCATCTTTGTTTTTTGAGAACTAATAAAATATTGATGGATCTTTCTGGCTAGTATTCTCCCGATCGCCAAGTCACGGTTTTGCGAAATTCATGAAAAAAGTAAAGTAAATCCACAGACGTACAGCTACTGCCTTTTTTCATTATGGTCGGATTTTGGTTTAAAACATTTTATGTTTTAAATAACATTAGATTCAGAAATTGTGTATACTTTCTGAAATTTGACGATGATTGGAGCAGTACTGGCTGAACTGTGTCTGATTTTCTCCTACTACCAAGGTCTTGTTTACTCATTGTGAAGGCCGTTTAGGCAGCATGCAGGCAATTAGCAATCAATCATCCAACCCACCAGTGACCGTTTCTTCTAAGGGGAAGAATTTCGTCATGTAGTAGAATGATCTAGGTCTTCAGACATCATTTTCACTCGTTTTTGGTGTTTCTTTGGATTGTAGGTTTTCCTGCTATTGTAACTTTTCCCTTTAAAGTTACTGCTGTCAGTTGCTTTGGCTCCACCACGGCATACCTTGGCGAAGTGGTTAAATCTGTTGCACTTGCTGCATTTTTGTCCATATGATGGACAGTTCCGACCTTGTGGATGAGTGCCCACTTGTCCACAATACACACAAGCTGATAGGTGATATTTTGTCCTTTCGGTGGCTTTTGGTGTGTTTTGCTATGTGTTGGAAGTTGCTTTCTGACCTTGGCCACATCTGCTACCTGCATTCGCATATCCTTGACTTGCAGGGTGGTGTCTTCTACTTGAATGGCTTCTTTCAGAAGTTGGTCAAGTCCGCATTTCTTATTGATTGCTTTACGTATCAGTGATTCATCGTTTATTGTAATCAGTCAATTTCGTGCGTAATTTCTGATAACTATCCAAATCTGCCGCTGGATTAGGTAAACTTTTCTCTAGCCGTACTAGATCTTTACCCCGTAGATTATCATGACATCTTTCTTATCTTCTGGCTGAGAGATTCTAAAGTATCTAAATTCTCTTTCTAGCCCTTCCAGCCATTCTTCCCATGCTTTACCATTGTGGATTTGGTCCTCGCCAGGAGTAAATGGTTGGATACTTAGGTTTCTTGTTTCAATTACTACCGTAGGCTGCTGAGCCATCTTCTATGTCACATATACGTGATACATGCGGACAGTACTCACGTTTGCTGCTGGATGGTTTTGCTATACTCTAGGCCTGGCTATATTGTATAGTAATAATATAGCTTGCTTCTGCTTTATGATCGTAACTGCTTTGTTACTCGCATCAACGCCTGGTTTCTTGACATCCTCGTCGTCAATGAAACATCCCGTGTGTAATATTAAATGATACACAGAGGCATAGTTAGAACTCAACTAATAACATTTTAATACTTCTCCGCCGTCAGCGTGGTAGTAGCAACTGCGCTCAACAGAGGGTGCTACATAGGATATCACAACATGCAGCTCTGATCATGAGTAACAATCATTTGTAATTGCGACCCAACACTCCACACCTTGGGGATTATTTATATTCATAAATGAAATATTTAGCAGACCATTATATTAACCATACAGTAGAACATTTAAAAGTTAATTTATAGTTATACATATGATGTACATATTATTAATTGTGTATTGTATATAAATGTATTTTACTGTGTTGGTGTTTTTAGTCCCTATATTTAGTATTAAATGTTCGTACCTAGGACCCAAGGTAGACCAGACTTTTTCTCTGATTGGGCCACCCTTTTTAAGTAGGGCCTATTATGAATAAATGAATGAATGAATGATTGATTGATTTATTTGCATATAATGTGCATATGATGTGTATTTTTAAAGATTGCATAGTTATGTGCATATGATGTGTATGGTGTGTAGTTGTGCCTTGCTCATAAAGCTAATGGACAGCAATGGGATTCCAAACCCTGAACTCTGCGTTTGAGAACCCAAATCCCCCTGCTGTGTCAAGTGCATATTCAGTAATATTTTGTGATATGTACTGTAATTACAAATATTGATTAAAAAAAAATTATTTTCCATGGTTTTAGCTGCGATTGAATTCTGGAACTGCCGCTCAGAAATATGAGAATTTGACAGTAGATGCAGGAAGTGCAGTAATAAGGAATGGACTATTTCTGTAAATCAGGTCCTAGGCCTTGTAAATATGTTGGTTTCTGCTGAAAAGCGGGCATTGCACAGGAAGAAAAATGGCAAAGTTATTGGCCTCTATACAGTCGGGTTGCACTAATCCATTGGGAACCAGTTGTATTGAGTCTGGTTCTTAAACATTTTTTTATTAGAAGCAGTAACATTTTGCCAGGATGAGTTTTCTTATTTTTGTCCGATTTCAGGCTCAAAATGTTCTGATTTCGTTCTTATTTTTACACACTTTTCAAACAAGAAAATTATTATTGTACTGCAGTATACTGCTGTACAGTAATGGAGGGTATAATAGTACATACAGTAGTCACATTTATACTACTACACATTAAGGTACAGATAAGATTTGTTGAAAATTGAACTCAATCGGGGACTGGATAAACACTCTCTTTCCCGTCCCTCTCCTCCTTCTTCCCTCTTTCTTTTCTTGCATTTCTTTCCGATCATACAAAAATGTCCATACTATAGACATTATATATTTTCTGCCAAAAAGTAGGGGGGTGGGGGAACCAAACCCACTCAGCCCCCCCCCCACCCCGATTCCGCCGGCCATCTGAACTGAACTTTAATTGTGGGCATTGCTCATCCGATTTTTAAAGTTAGGCTTTGCTTGTGTGAATCAGATATACATATAATTTCAGATGCACACGCAAGAACTGCAAGGCATGCACAGGAGCTGATGAAGTTGGAGAGAATCGTTGGTTGAATAATCTGGACCAGTGCATACAGATTAGCAAAATTGAGCCAGCTAATTTGGCAAGCAATGTGCAAGTTGAGGTGGTATTATTTTTATGATGGATCTATATAGTTTAGGTTGATTATCAACATACATAAAGAGCCTTATAATAGTTTGGGCATACAAATTTGAGCATATATATTACCTCTTTTTATATCCAATATCCTTTTATATGAGTGAACACAGACAGCAATTAGAAAAAAATTAACAATTTTTGTGTAAACAGCTTCTGAAATTTTGAATTCATTAAAATATATCTACAAAAGTTGTTTCTGTCAAATATTTAGGCCAACGTACCCTACCACTCCTGATACCAGATCAAAATTAACATAAATGCTTTTGAAAATAGGCTTATTTCTATCACAATAGAAATCTATAAACACATGATTTTGGTTGATATTTGAAACTTAAAATATATTAAAAAACGTTAAAATATATTGTTCAGATTTTCTGTATCATCGGAGATCGGTTTACATTTCACATGCAACATGAATTTTTTTTAGCAAATGCTTTATTTATTCAAGCAAGATAATCACATTTATATTTGTTGTCACTATTTAACTTTTTAAAAAAGCTTTGTTTCTTTCAAATTCATTATTTTTCAGAAGTATCTTGTAAAGCATGTTACATACTGTACCCTTTGGTAAGGAACTTATATATACAAAATGTTTTGATATTTTCCAGTTGATGCTGACTGTCAGAAGCCTCCCAAAGGCACCAGCTGAAACATATTTTTGCGTCTTTGAAAATATTCAAACAACTCCGGTTATATTCATTGATAATTCAACCATACCACCAACACTAAAGTGTAAAACCCCTTTGGAAGTGTATATCCAGTCTGGAGGTTAGACATATGTTTTTCTTTGTTTTAAAATTTGTTCTAAATCCACAATACATATCTACCTATACATTTTCATAGTTTTATAACATTAGCTCCACATTACTAATTTATATTGTAAGTCAATTATGACATCATCACTGTAACTCCCAATGTTATTTGTCTATCCCCCACAGTCCACTAATTTTTCAATCAGTGGACGTTTGGCTTGAATTCCTTCAGTTTGTGTGTAAAAAAATACCTAATTTTTCGTCACCGCAAAGATAACACGAACTGCGATGAAAATTAAATTGTAATTGAAAATTACTTTCATGCCTTAGTAACATCACATCTTGATTACTGTAATGCTGTTCTTTATGGACTTCCCAATAAAGTCATTCGGAAATTTCAACTGAACGTTGCAGCCAGGCTTGTTTCGCTTACTCCGAAGCGTCAACATATTACTCCTACTCTTCGTCGTCTTCATTGACTACTTGTTAAGCAACGTAACACTTTAAAATTCTTCTTTTTGTGTACAAGTCTCTTCATTGTTCATCTCCACAGTACATTAATGACCACCTAAAAATGCGATCAACTACATGCAGTCGCATGCTTAGGTCCACATCATCTAGTACAACCACTCTTCATTGTACTTTTGGTCGGTTGAAAACCTATGGTGATAGATCCTTCTCTGTTGCTGCACCAAAATTGTGGAACAAATTACCCAATTATGAAATCATCGCACGATTTTTACCTGTCTGCACAGACCAAAAAGTCAGTAACTGTATTCCCTCTCGAATGCTTTAAGAAATGTTTATTTCTTTGATGAATGTCTATCAAAGTATCATTACAAATAAGTATAATTAAAATAATTAAAAGAAAAAGTTTTTTTAATTCAGATGGCAAAATGATGATGTCACAATTTCCGATCAGCCATTATGATCGATAAAATCATATCTACAACTCATGCGCTTTCAGAATATGTAATAAAAAATGGGTGTTACCAATCATTCTAAGGAGCTATAACTGATTTAAAAATCTCATCGTTTCACAAACCAAAATAATCTTGTAAATTTAGTTGATCATAGCAATAAATGGGATTTACCTGCATTTATGTCAACTAACTCGCTATCTTTATTGAATGAAATGGATGAAATTAGAACAAGGATTCTTGTGTATAAACCTGACGTCATCAGTATTACAGAATCGCATCTTAAAGAAAGTGTTCCAGATGATCTAATTGTTCTTGATGGATATAGTTTTATTAGATGTGACCGGATTGAGCGTGAGAAAGGTGGTGTTGTTTTATATGTTGAAAAACACAATTCCCTACACTTACTGGAATGTTCTTCATGACGACCTGTTTGAAACTATATGGATTACCATCAGACCTCGTAAACTCTCCCGAAAAATCCCCAATATATCCATTGCTGTCATGTACCATCCTCTGGGTGCGAACGATAACGCTATGGTGCAACATATTATGGCTAGTATCGACGCTATTTGCACAAATCACCCTGAAACTAGTGTTGTTTCAACACACTAAAGACAATTTCATGACTAGTGTGAGAAATTTACAGTGGAGAGACATTTACCGTATTGAGAAATGTGAGGAGAAATATGATATGTTCAGCCGAACTATTAAAGATCTTATCGAAGTTCACTTCCCATTTAAAACCACATTTCAGAAAGATGTTGACAAACCATGGGTCTCGACGCGACTAAAAAAGTTAATACGTAAACGACAGCTGGCCTTTAAGAGGGCAGATGAAACCGTGTTCCGCCAATTGAGGAACGGTGTGAATAGGCTCTGTAAACGGCTTAAAAAAGAATACTACGCGAAAAATGTTAAGAAACTTTTTAACTCCGATTCAAGGTCTCGGTGGAAACACGCGCATATATATGAATAAGACAAATAAGTCCAATTATGCTCAAGGCCTCGCAAACAGACTCTTTAATGGCAACATCGATGTTTTGGCTGAGAAGACTAACAAGTTTTTTCAATCTGTGAGTCTTCACTATCCTCAAATTCCCTCGCCTTGTCCTAAGAGCGCCTATGAACACGTCCCTGATCATTTAATTATAGACGTCGAAACTGTCAGGAAGAAGCTTGTTACTATTAAATGTAATAAAGCCCCGGGGCCCAATGGCGTTCCCGGATAGATCTATAAAGATCTTGCTGATGAATTGGCCGGTCCACTATGTTCTATCGTAAACGCAAGTTTAAGAGAAGGGGTTGTGCCTAATGAGCTGAAACGCGCTGATATTGTGCCTATACCGAAAGTGAACCCTCCCAAAGTAATTGAAGAAGATCTGCGGCCGATTTCACTAACACCAATTGTAAGTAAACAGATTGAAGCACTGATCGGCCAACATATTTGGGATCATAAAGGATAAAATAAACCCTCATCAATTTGGCTGTATGCAAGGTGTAAGTACTATTGATGCGCTTCGGTGCTACTCTGCGACGGACAAAGGAAACGAATTACGCATGATGCTTATTGATTATAGTAAAGTGTATGATCTGATAAACCATTCTATCTTAATGGAGAAGCTTGTTAAATTAGGAGTTGAAGATACCTTGATAGATTGGACATGCGCTTTCCTGTCAAATAGAGCACATCGTACAAAAATTGGCAACCATGTGTCCTCGTGGCAAACTCCACGTGGTGGTGTCCCACAAGGATCCTGGCTTGGTCCCATTTTGTTTATCGCGTTTATCAATGACCTAGACACAGATTTAGAACTGAGTAAATATATGGACGATACGACGGTAATGGAAGAACTCCATCCATTTTCTATTATAAATGAGTGGTCAGCGATAAATCTGATGCGCCGGAATAACAAGAAAACAAAAGAAATAGTCATCTCTACCAAACGAAAGAAGTTAGATGTGATACCTGTTCTCACGGATGATGGTAGTGTTATAGAAAAGTTGAGCTCTGTTAAGCTGTTAGGCATACACATAACTGAAAATCTGAAGTGGGATGTCCAAATTGACGATATAACTAAACGTAGTAACCAGCGCCTCTATTTTTTTAAACAACTTAGGAAATCTGGTTTCGATACCCTTGCACTTCTCCGTTAGGAGTTGAAGATACCTTGATAGATTGGACATGCGCTTTCCTAGCGTTAGATGCGAAAGGTCAAAACGTTTTATTATTAACTGTGGTCTTTTCAATAATTGGTAGACTGAGAATATCCTGGTGACGCTTTTCCTAAACTTTTTAAATTTTTTGTTACTCCTTTTCGCTGATTTGTACATATTTTGCTTCGAAATTGTATAGGAAATTGTAAATATATCCTATTTTATTCTCTCTTCGGTTTTTTCACGTCCTTTATACGTCTAGTGCTTGAATACGCGTGTCAGGTTTGGGGTACGAGTATCTCCGTCCATCAGTCGTCGCAACTTGAACATATTCAACGGAGAGCTGTCGGAATTATGTGCCCTTCAATGTCATATATAAAGAAGCGCGCGCTGCACTTTCCTTATCATCTTTGGAAGAAAGACGTGAAATGCTCAGTATAAAATATTTTAATAAAGTCAAAAATCCGAAACACAAATTAAACGACTTGCTCACGCCTGCATCAGTTAATAAGTACAACTTGCGTTCGAAGAAAGCCTATGACCTTCCTAAAGTTAGATGCGAAAGGTCAAAACGTTTTATTATTAACTGTGGTCTTTTCAATAATCGGTAGACTGAGAATATCCTGGTGAGACTTTTCCTAAACTTTTTCAATTTTTTGTTACTCCTTTTCACTGATTTGTACATATTTTGCTTCGAAATTGTATAGGAAATTGTAAATATATCCTATTTTATTCTCTCTTCGGTGAATTTTAATTACTTTTTTTGTGTGTGTTTTCTTAGCCTATTGTTAAACTTCAATTTTTTTTATGATAAAAAATTGCAATAAAGCTTCTCGTATTATCGAATGATTTTGAGCACTTAAATTTTTGACGAACGCGTAGCGCATGTTATGATGCGCGCACGAAAAATTTGCGCGCATTACATTCATACTTAAAATGAACGTTATTCCGAATAAAGAGAGGGAGGCCATGATTCAACGTTTCGACCTTTATTGGGTCATCATCAGGAATGAGAAAACTTAGACAGTGATTACAAAAAATGCTACAATATTTAAATGAGAGGATTAAAAGCTAGTACAATAACAATGGTGATTAAGCACAATGGTGATTATGAGAGAGGCAATTAAGTTGGGTTAGATTACATTAGATAAACAATTTCAACTCTCTTGATGCTTTGAGACCACAGTTTAATTTAGGGTTAAGGCGATGGATAGCAAGGGCTTCTTTAAATAGTAAATGGGACCAGTTAGGAGAACTATCAATTATTGCAGTGTTAGAATATATTAGAGATTTGAAATTAACAATGAAATCATCTTTAATTGGGTTAGGCAAATTATGAAGTTTTAAAATATATTGAAAAGCATCGCAAACATTCATACTTGACTTGAAGTTTTATGCCAATTGAATATGATTTAGAAATGTCAATTATTTATGATGATATAGGCGATTTCAATGATTTGAGGAAAGAAAGATAAATGGTCAGATAAAAGAATTATGTAAAAAATGATGACGTCATCAAAATGTAAAAAGTCGTGACATTTATGAAAGAGAATTGTCTCAGTTATAATCTTCCTCGAAGTTTGGAGAAAATCGATCAAGGATAAGGAAAATACACTCAAATGCGCATTTTAGCAAATGACGCCATAGATAAAAAATCATTTTGTTGAATTCAGATGGCAATATGATGACGTCACAATGTCCGATCAGCCATTATGACCTATAAAATCATATCTACAACTTATGTGCTTTCAGAATATATAGTAAAAATTGGGGGTCACCGATCATCCTAAGGAGCTATAACCGATTGAAAATAGGCATGATTTTGGCCTATTTCCGCTCTAAGTCGACAAAAACGCGCACATGGATTCGTATCTTTAATTTGTTAATAGAGTGTCAGGAACCTAAAACATGTAAAAAAAATGATAATTCCAGCTTCTGTATGTGCGCGCGGGTAAAAATGCGCGTGCGGGACGGAAAATTCGAAAAATTACGAAATGCTCAAAATGACCTAAAACATGCTCTAATTTAGTCAAAAAGTGATTTTGAGCATTTTAAAATTTTGACACATGCGTACGCATGTACTTTCTTTTGTATGCGCGGACGGTAATGGTGCAGGAAGTTGACACTTGATGTGAAGTATACTTGTGTCAAGTTTCATTGAAAAATACATGTTAGTAAAGAAGTTATTGTCAGTGATAGAATTTCACCAAATGGTGCGTAGATGACGTCACATAACTGTGACGTCATCCACAAAGTCAGGTGCACAACTTCAGATGTAGATCTATATGCGCGTACAGCATTGCTATTGACCCTAAATGACCGAAAAAGATTGGAAATTTGTGAATACAATGTCAAGAACCTAAAACATGTAAAAAAAATGATAATTCCAGCTTCTGTATGTGTGCGCGCATAAAAATGCGCACACGGGACGAAAAATTCGAAAAATTACGAAATGCTCAAAATGACCTAAAACATGCTCTAATTTAGTCAAAAAGTGATTTTGAGCATTTTAAAATTTTGACGCACGCGTACGCACGTACTTTACTGAGGATGCGCGGACGGTAATGGTGCAAGAAATTGACACTTGTTTCATTGAAAAATACCTGTTAGTAAAGAAGTTATGGTCAATGATAGAATTTCACAAAATGGCGCGTAGATGACGTCACGTAATTGTGATGTCATCCACAAAGTCAGGTGCACAACTTTAGATGTAGATCTATATGCTACGTTAGCAGCAAACATCAAGCATGTGCTGTTTTTGAGAAAATCGACCAACAAAAAAGGTGTGAAAGAAAAAAAAAAGAAATAAATAAATAAAGAAAAATCCGAACGAAAACAAAGGTGATACACTCACGGAAGCATATCACCATTAAATTTTGTTTTCTTATTTCACAAATAGTTTAGCCAAAAACATCCAGTTGGAAAAAATAAGATTTTATTGGTGAATGTAAAATGGGATGGTTAAGTGCTTCAAATTTATATAATTAGGAAGAAATATACATATCTTATCTTTGAAGCTTTGAACGCAGCGGAGGGCGTAATAAAAAAAAAAAATTTCTTCCTGAAATTTCCATTTTTCGTGGCAGCGGGTGCGTTAATTGGCCAAAAATAAACTTTCATCAATATATGTGTTTGGCGGGTTTGAAAACAAGGTATAAAAAAAATCTCACCTTGGCTATAGTACTACCAAAGGGAGCAAGAGGTTCAACTGACCTGATTTTGTATGTACTCAATGGAAGGTTTAAAAAAATATATTAGAATTTGAATAGAGTTTTTTCTCATCTTATAAAGACACGCCCCTTTGTGGCAGTACTTTTTAGGATTACAATCCAATGAAACCATGTTCTACATTATTAAATGCAACTGATAAGTAAACGTGTAAACTTCAAAATTATTCACTCATAAATTCTTATGGACATGCTCCATGTTGTCTTTCTTCATCCATCTCTTTTACGTTTCACAAGACACTTAATGCAGAAATGGGTAAGCTGCATATGTTCAACCACATGTGCATTAAAATGTAAACACAATGTATTACTGTTTTCAAAGCTAGCCTCATAAATTTTAACCATATTTATAATAAAATGTTAAGCATAATTGAATGTTTTATAGTTATCTGAATAATGTACAGTGTTTACCATTACTTAATATATCATAAGGCCAAAAAAAAAAGTTTTGCCCTCCTCCACCTGCCTCTAGCTCACTGAAAAAATAGGGGTGGAAAAACAAAAAAAAAACTTACAAAAAGTTTTTTTTCCAGCTTTTTTTTACAAATTGAAAAAAATGTGAGTGAAATTTAGTTTTTGCCAGATGCCCTACAAATTAGTCTAAAGTTGTTGTCTGATGTAAGATATTGCCATTCTAAGCCTCTGTGGGTTATTTTTATTCCATCTAAATAAATTTTTAAAAAACTTTTTCCACCTGCTCCTATTTATCATTTTATAAAAAAAGGCGGGCAAACAAACAATTTATTTTATTTGGCCTAATTATGTCATACAATCTTTTCAAATTTTCAATTAATGAGACATTTTTAGAATTATAAAATAATAATTTATAATTAGTAAACTTCAGTTGCTTTCTGCTGCTAGGGTCTCTGGAGGTTAAGTTTTCCTTACTATCAAATGAGACCAACATGGAGTTTGTCAGCAGTAAATTTTTCTTCTACGACTGCAGCGCATTCAAGGACTGCACTAGTTGCGTGTCAAGTAACTTTGCCTGCGATTGGTGCATTTATGAGAATAAATGTACAGGAAATTCCCAACAGTGTAAACTAGAAGGGGTGGTTGGCGGACAAGGAGTATGTATCCACAACATTGTCATCTTTATTGTAAATCTGGCCTAGATAAAACTTAAATACATACTCCAAGTATCGAAATGCCCGCCATCGTGTCGGGATTCAATATTTCAACATTAATTATGTCATCATCAGGAATCAAATTCCTGATGATGACATAATTATTGTCGAAATATTGAATCCCGACACGATGGCATGCATTTCAATACTTGGAGTATGTTTTATACTGTCTTATGAAATTTAATTATTATGTATTATGGTTTTCGTCAATAACGCACCATAATGATAAATGGTTTTGCTTACTTTTTTATTTGCATGAGTTTAGAGCCTCAATTTTTTGTTCCATTTTTTTCAATTTGTAAATTTTGGAACACCATACATTTATACATTTTGGATTGTACAGTTTCAACCGGGTTTGTAACTTGGGTCTAAAACAGTAAGTAATGAGAAAATTATAATCATCAAGCGGCATCACAAAACGAAAAATAATATATGAAAATTTCTTAATTCCTATTTTGTACTAAATATCCTAACCATTTTTAGTAAAAAATAACAAAAAATAAATAACAAATTTTTAAATTAATTAAAATGCTGTCCTGAATTTATTTGATTTGTTTAGTTTGCTGTCAAGATCACAAGATTCCATTTAACCATTAATTTTATTATCACTTTTATATATTTATTTTAAATGTATTTTCAATGTTTTATCTGTTTTTATCTGTTCTTATAGAACTCTCTTACCAATGCGACAAAATTTGGACCCGATAACTGCCCTCGCTTGGCAAAACGGGATGCAGAGATTCTTCTGCCTGTGAACACCAGAAGAGCTATTGAAGTTGTGGCTCAGAATCTGCCTGTACTAGAGGTGATGTCTTTAGTTGTCTTCTATGTATTTCCAAGAGATTGTCCATGCATTTTATATTTGATGATGGACACTGTTGAATTGTATTGTATGCCAGTCACTGCTTATTATTTGTATTTAGCTGCTGTAATATGTCTGTTTTATTATGTCAGTCTACAGTGTATACAACCCAACATAAACATTATACAATTATTAAGTAACTATATAAATAGAGTAAATAAAAAAGATTTTTCGATTAGACTATAATCAGAAAAAGATAATTATCAACTTGGTATATTGACATGATTAAATCATGATTGTGTAACTACAAAAAAAACAACTACAGCAAAATCATAAATGATTCTCTAATTTGTTTATTTTGCCGGAAAAGGGCAATAAAAATCTTTCACATTCAATATACTGACAAATGTTTTCATTTTTTCATGTACATATATAAGCATGTATACTGTTATGTATGTTAGGCTGGTCACCCAGCATACGAGTGTGTCCTGGATGAAGAGGTTGTGAAGGCAGAAGTGATGGATGATACCATCCGATGCACACCCAACGAGGTATGCCTCAGATTAAATGTATCGTTCAATATTTTATTATACATTTCCCTTGAAAACATCAAAGCAACAGAGAATTAAATAATTAGGTTTAAGTACATATAAATGTAATATTATATTATGATATATTACATTTATAGTATATACTTACATTATTTATAACATATTAAAAATTTTTATATAATAAATAAATAATTATTATAAAATATCATAATTATATAATAAATTACATTTATTTTTGTCTCACAAAAGAGAACACTATCAATACAGGATATCTATTTCAGACCCATATTTATACACTCTGTGTACAAATATAGAGGTGATATGTTAAAACAGAAACTGTATATAATTATTTTGTAAACCATAAGCAATTTTAAAGCCAGCTTATAAAAAGAAGCAAATATCTTGCTAAATATTTTCCCTGCAATTTATTGTTGTAATTGCCTGGTTTTGCAAAGCAAACTTCCTCCATTTTTTTTTTTAGTTTTAGTCCTTGTACCATTTAGTACTAAGTGCCATAAATAATAAATAAATAATTTTGGTTGAAAGCAAGCACAAAGAGAATACTGTATGTAAGTATGAAAAACATCATAAATCAGAATAATGGCATATTCACAAATACCATTAATTTGTTGTATTTTTTGTAGAAAGATAAGATGTATGGTCATTATCTCTTAAAATTGAGTAGATTACACACTCACCTCCCCCATGGCAGCAAATTAATTCCACTAGTTGGGTTTAAATACTTAAATGACCATTAAATTTTCATTGGAATAGGGATTTAGTTCCATATTCTGTGATTAATTTTGCCTTCTCATTTATGGAAGTGTGGTCATCCTCTTTCTTAATATTTAATAATTTGTTCTTGGCTCATAATTCCACATGCTGTTGAAAAGCATCTTTTTATTTGCAAATTTTGAATTTACTACTAGATGAATCGGGAAAAATTTCAATTCAATAAGTGGTAAAGACAGACACATAGTTGATTTTAATTTGGCTATTTATTTGACTTTTAAATTATTTTCCTATTATGGCATAACTTTGTCTTTTATTAATGGTTAAATTGTATGTTTCTTTCCTATTTTTTTTTCAGTTTATCCATATTGTAGTGAGGTTTTTTTTAAACAATTTCTTCATTAAGCTGCAATTGCAATTTTTATTTGTTGAATAAGTGAATTTACAGATTTTAATCTTCAGAATTCCATATACTGCTTTCATCATATATTTAAGTATAAATTATTCAAGTATATTTTTTCAAACAAATTAATTTTTTCCCCATTGTTTTTAGTATTCGTATGCAGAATTTATACTGGACAAACCTATCCTGTTGAAGGTGCGCTGGAATAATGATTTCATGATTGATAATCCATATAATGTTACAGGTGAGTTTTTTAACCGCGTTCACATGTCTTAAGTCGTTAGCGAGCCGGGACTTCATGTAAACAGCCACTGAAGAACAGTTTGTGTTGTGGGTGACCCACGACAAGCTTCTCTCGATCGACTTGAGACGCAACTCACTCTTGATCCATGTGAACGGCCGTTTGCAAGTGGGTCGCCAGTGAGCTGTGACCTCTTTTGTGTGAAAGCCAATCAGATACAAGCATCTCTCCGGGGTCAAACTAGTTAGCTTGTTTGCGCGAATATTCGCTGTTATGAATGCTATTTTCACAAATTTTTGGCTGTTGGATGTTATTTTTCATTTAAATATCCCAAAATATCCTCCATGTTAACTCCATCTGGATCTGGCCCTCGGGCCTGCTGCACCGAGGAAGATTAGAGACTTGATAGAGATTTGGGCAGAATCCAAGATTAGAATGTTAGTGGAAGACAAGAAATCAAAGAAGACAAAATTACATGAGAAAATCGCAGCTAGTCATGACAAATCCAAACAACGTTGCAGGACCTAAAGCCGGGCACTCACTACATTGTACGACCGTCGGTCGATGAATCCAAATCTGCTTCCTATGAGCGCTTGACGACATAACACCGCCTGATGATTGTCAGTGGCAGTCTGAATGGATCGTCATTAAAAACAATCCGTTGCCCATGCATCGTGGCGTTGCCTTCTAAGAAGGCCGGATAAAGAAAACAGTACAAACAGTTTTACCTAGAGGAGGTGAATAAATCAGGATGTTGGGGCCCCAATCTGGCCACTTTACCACAGAATTGGGAACATCGGCGATCACACAAATATGTCAGGTGGGGACCGTTGGAGAATCGTCGATGCCACCTCCACCCAGTCCTAGGATTAGAAATCACAGGCCTAGCATTTCTACAACCAATTGGGGATGTGACGTAAATTTATTTCCGGTTGCCTTGAAAGTGGTAGCGAGCTCAGTTTGGCCATTTTTGTATCCAACACAATCTTGCTCATGACTCAGCACCTCAGCTGCTCGCAGAATGTGACTTATATCTTGTCTCTCTGGCTTGCATTTTAGTTTTCTGATCTTCAAGGACATATTTGTACCTTTTGGCCTGTCCCACTTTTTTTTTTCATCCTCTCTGCTTACCTGCAGCTGATGCTCATCCTAATGTATTGGAATTGTTAGGATTAATGGAATAAAAGTAACCATTTTTTTAAAATCATGGATAATGAGGAATGTAAACTTGAGCGGATTGATTCTAGACATGACAAACTGCGCAAACCTAGACAGGTGCACTGTACTATTTCAAGCTTATTGAATTTTGTTTGTCAACACTAGTTACTTTGTACAAGTGCGAGGTTAACAGAACCACATGTGGAAAGTGCCTTCTCACAGACAGCAAATACGATTGCGGATGGTGTGAAAAGAGCTCGTGTCGTTTTAGAGATCACTGTACAAGTGCTACAGAGTTCCTGAGTGGAAATATTTGTCCTGACCCAAGAATTACAAGTGTAAGTGCTCTATTCATTATTGTAAAGGTCATTTATTCAACCTAGCATTCCCATTAGAAAAATTGTGTGGGACTGTCCCAATAGCTGGCTATGGCATTGGTCAAGGGTGGGGGGGGGGCACTTTGTTAATATGCGACTTGGTTAGGAGCCAAATTTATTATTTGGCAGCTTTGTTAGGGGGAAACTTTGTTAGGTTCGACTTGGTTAAGGGGTGACTTGGTTTAGTACGCGAGTTGGTAAGGGGCGACTTTGTAAGAAGGTGGCTTATTAAAGGGCGACTTGACTGGCATTCGTTCCTAGTATCCTTTTATATTTCTAACTTATATTAAATATGTAACATTTATTATTGGTTTCTCAAAAATGCACTTCTATTTTGTTTAAATACCTTAGTAAATGTCAAATTTTAGATGGTGCAGAGAGAAATACTCCCAGTATATGCATTAACTAATCTTATTTTGATGCTTAGAGATACAGTGGGTACATTAAGTAAAGTAAAATGTGTAACATCTTCCTCCTCATCCTCCTTATAATCTTCTTTATCACATCATCCTTATATTCATCTTTGGCTGTTAAGTAGGTATTTTTTAAGACAGTATATTAAGTTAACAGTGTCCACCTTCAGTTTAGCCCCCTGAAAGGACCAATTGAAGGTGGAACTCGTTTGATTATCAAAGGCAAGGACCTAGGACTCTCATTCAACGATACGCAGAGCATCACAGTTGCTGATGTGGAGTGTGTACCGGAAGAGGAGGGATATATACCATCAGAGCAGTAAGTGCTGGGCAGTATGTGTATGTTGCTATGATGTGGAGGAATGCTTTAACTAAACTACTAAACATGGTGCTAATTCTAGCAATGGATATGTCATGGCAGTGCAGTGATGCATCTTGTTGTTGTCTTAATTGATGAATAGTTGAATAATAGAAATACTTATTAATTCTATTTTACAACATAATTAAGATTTGTTTTGTAGATATTTTACAGGCTTCAATTGACATATACTTTTTAATATAATTAGAATTGAAGACTTAATTATTGATTTTGATTAAATGATTGATATGTTTGTGTAGGTTGCAGTGTACCCTGAGTAACACAGAGGCCAGTAAGAGTGGAAAAGTTAAGGTTACAATTAGCAAAGGCGAAACTTACATGGCAACTTCTGAAACTAACTATGCATTTGTGGTAGGTGTATTTGAATCCAAATTACTGAAATTCCTATCCCTTTCCTTTTAATGTTATGCCTTCATCAGGATTTTGTCAATTTACATTTTGGGCAAGTTGAGAAGCCGAACTGTAAGGCAGGAATGCTCCCTCTCCCAAATAAGGATTTAAAATCAAAGGCCTTGAGGTGTACACATCTGGCATGTGTTCATATTAAATGAAGGTGGTGGTTATCCTGATGCCGCTGTGGAATGAGAACATAAAGCTACTAAGTGCCTGTCTGCTTTTGAAGACCATGCCCGTACATAATTCAGTACAATGATGCTGCAAGTTATGTCTTATTCTTCTATTCTCACATGCGAGCACTTTTAGCCTAGGTTATAATGGAAATTAAAGCACTGCATATGTCCCTGATTCTGTATCATTAAGCTGTTCTTGACATCCCCATGTTGTGGGAAAAAGAGCAGGAGATTGTCTCAATTTAGCTCAATTCACCCCATGGATAGCTCTGCCTATTGTGGGGTACCCAACGGCCTAGCGCAACCTTCTTAACTCTATGAATTCTTTAACTTTACTTTTGTTATACTGATCCTATGCATACTAGAATGTAAAGAAGTTTTGTCTTCATTTAACTCTCTATTTTTAGATTCCAGCAGTGAACAAGATCAGTCCAGACCTGGGTCCTATGTCTGGAGGAACCAATGTTGTTTTAGAGGGACAACATCTTGATGCTGGCTCCACTGTCAATGTTACCATCGCTGATCACCAGTGTCTGAATATTGAGTAAGAATATGATTCGTCTCTTACTGTATTTTATTGAGTAAGAATATGATTCGTCTCTTACTGTATTTGGTATATATGCTCAAAACTATGATATCTATTGGAAACCCTGAGTTTTCATATACATGAATAGAATATACAGTAGTTTCCAATAATTCAAATTTGTTTTAATCATTACTGAATCTGTATTTCAGTGGTTACTCAATTTTATATCTTCAGTCATATTTTTTAGAAAAAAATAGCTTGTTTTCTCAGATACAAAACCATTTCACCAAAATCTCATACGTCGACAATTAAAAATCAAGAATCATCAGCTTTACTGAATGAACTAAACTTGTTATCAGTTGTGTTTTAAAAACCACCATTGTGACTGTCACTAAAAGCAAGTGCCACTAAAAATAGTATTTTAAATCTATAAGTATATTATTTCAATATGTTGTAAGAAATTCTTCACTCTTACAACAATTACCATATTTGTTATGTTCTAAAATGTGTTATTTTAGAAAAGCTTGAATTTTACATACCGTACATAAATTTAATATGCAGTAGTCAGTGTTCCACAGCAAGTTTTTTAGCTGGCTTTCCTGAGAATCAAAACCATTTAGGCTAAAACAGACTTAAAATACACCATCAAATCTCAATCATTAGTTTTGCTGAATAAACCAAATTTGTTGTCAATTGTTAAAAAAAAACCAGCAGTTTGTTTTTAGGTTGATGATTGATTTGTACATCTGTCATGGCTGACAGTTCATGACTTCTGTGATGACCCACCACTTATGTCGGTTCGAAGCTATTTCATACACCTTTGGTAGTGGTTGTCGAACTAGAGATGTGATCCTGTTGATCCATCTGGACCTAGGACGTCCACGTCTTCTTGATCCCTCAATCTTGCTCTGCATGAGAACCTTTTCAAGGTAGTATCTTGTTGTCTGGCTATGTGCCCAAGTAACGGAGAGCTTGACAGTTGAGTGTATTGATTAATCTTTTTTTAGGACCAATTTCTTTTAAAACACTGGCGTTTGTTCGTTTTGCTGTCTAAGGTATCTTCAGTAGTATACGCCAGCACCAGAGCTCAAAAGCATTAACCCTTTTACAATCTTCTTTTGTGAATATCCATGTTTCACAAGCTTGGACTAGCCATGTTTTTGTTGCTTTGGTGACCCCTCGGTTGGTCCAGATTTTTGTTATTTTGTTCATAGCAGATCTTGCCATTGCCAAGCGTCTTCTGATCTCAAGTTTACATCCCCTGTCCACAGTGACAAGAGCTCCAAGGAAGTTAAACTGGGTGACTTTTTTGACTTCTTTGCCATCAACTATTAGGGAATCAGTGGGATGATATTCACCAATGACCATGGACTTAGTTTTGGATACATTAAGTCGTAGGCCTAGAGTTTCACTTTCTTGTTTCACCCTTTCTAGCACCATCCAAAGTTCTTCTATATTGGTGGCCACTAGAGTGGTGTCATCTGCATACCGAAGGTTGTTCAGCTGCCATCCTCCTATTGAGAAACCGCCATCCCAATTTTCAAGGGCAAGTCTCATGATGTACTCAGTGGTGGCGCCAGGACCTGCCCAACGGAGGGGCTAAAAGCCCCGACGGGGGGGCTGTAGTGGAGCAAATCCAGTCTCACTTGGCTGGGGGCCGCCTAGGGCTTCGCCCCTGGAAGCCACGGGTATTTGATGAATTATGGCGATTTTTTATTACTTATTTGATAGGCATCGAGTTACTATAATATGACTTCATGTAGGCTATGCTTTCTAATGTTGAA